AGCACATTTATATCTTTATTTAGACTGATACTTACCAATGTCGCTTGTGCAGTACTGGGTCTGAGGGTGACCCGGGAATGGAGAACATTCACATTCAGAGCTCACAGCCTGCACGCCACACAACAACAAGAACGCCCAAAGCAACTCCATCAGTGACGGTCGTGTAGTTCTACAGAATCGGACAAAATTACACTGATGTCAATACGAATGTTCCACAGAACAACGTGATATAACAGGTGTAGATGTGATACATTTATAGAGGTCATGTTTTGTAATTAAGAATCTTTTGTTCGACTTCTTCTGATTAAAAAACATAATTACAATGACGTGTCCTGGGTATGACCAATTTGTTACAATTAAAAAAAAAGTTTATAGAAACTGATTCTCTCTTCCTCTAAACATTCATATCACCGTAACAATTACTATGATATAATGTCCTAATGTTAGCTAGTGTCCCCTGATAAATGCTTATTGTGGATTTTATGCTATGATTAATTCTGGAACACGTGGAACTTTCATTCACTATCGTATAGCAATCTCATAGACGCATGAACTTTTTTTTTTGTAAAAGTACGTTGTTGTCTAACAATTCGAGCACAAATAACACCGTGTTCTGCTCTGCTGCTCTGAACAGAAATATATTATAACGGCATCACACAAAATGATTTTGTCATCTTAAAGACATAGGAACTGTCGGTGCCAAAAACAACGCATTTTCGATACTGCGGGGATTACGCTCACTATTCCTCTCAGCACCACTGCAACCTGTCATGGCAAAGTCGAAGGTTCCATGTGCAACACCTGGTGGATAAGACGAGACGACTAGTTTGATCCTTTAATGTACATTTAACGAATCGCGATGTTGTATAACGGTTTGTTGTAATGCCTTTGTAATCTTCACAGGAGCGTGTTGGTCTGTGATTGGTCAGTTTTTTTCTCATGAAACCCGCTCTAGACCAATAAAATTATCTGGCTTGTGTCTGCAGTTTTGCCATGAAATTTTCAAGGGGTGCAGAGAGCGACAATGATTATGTACGTAACCGCTGGAGTATCGAGGATAAAGACAACGGGATAAGACAAAGAAAACAGCATCATCAAACTACCTTTATTCCTAGTGTGACTTTATACATTGAAATTATTTTGTTTCCTACTCGTACACAAGGCAGATATACTATAAGGACAACTTCAACACATAAAAGTTCGCCAGTGTAAAACTACTGATTTAAATAACAATAAATGTATTTCAAATGTCTTTTTCACAGTTAAGTCAATTTCTACTTCAGTTCAATGCTACCAACAAACTTAATCAATATTTGTTTTCACCTTCTAGCATTCTTATTCGTAATGCGATATATGACGTTTGTATCTTAAAATGATTTTGAACAGCTCTAAATGTTTGTTTTCGACAATTATCATCGTGTTGTTGAAAGGAATGAGCACAGTCAGAATAGTACTGGTCAAATTGTACGTTTTTCTGGTATTGTTAGTCAATTGGGTATGCATCCCTGGCCCCAGGTGAAAATCGCACTCTCGCGTAAATAGCAACGGCACGATTTTCACCTGAGGCCAAGGATGTGTGGCATGAAGAAAAACTGGGAATAGAACATATTTGGATGGTGGATTTACTTACCTGACGTTGTAACTTCCTTGAATTGCCTTCTTCTAACCTTACCCTCCAGTGAACATTTTATATGCCTCTATGTAGGCAGGGATTGTAACAGATGTGTTAATGAGAGTATTAAGTGGTAGTAACTTGTAATATTTTCCCCGATAACGCTACATTTAATCAAACATTATATTTAGTAAAATGTCACCATGTGCTTGATACGATGTTTCAGGTATATATGAATTTCAGCTTTCTACACACATTATTTTGAAATGTAATTTATTTGCCAAATGGAAAATTAATATATTTGAATTGTTTAAAAAATATAGAATCTGAAAAAACTGATTAGACACAATTACTTATAAAATTGTTAATTTGATTTGATCGTTTGTATATCGTATTTATATTACATACCAGACATTGAATAGAAAGGACGAACATATCTTTAAACACATTTGTTCGGACATGAGGGCCAATCTCATATATAATCTAGGAAATCAACTGACATAAACAGACTACTCAAATAAACAAGGATCCACCGACACACCCTCGTACACACACAAACACACATATATATTACGGTATTTTTTTTTAAAAATCGTCTGTGTTTGATGGAATGAATTGCCGTTGTTTATATTTCCAAGTAAAATTATTTTTTGTATATTTTGTTTTCACAAAATACATCGTCATGTCCAAACAAAGCTGGTTTAATAAATCATTGTTTATATTTAAGGCTTAAATCATATCGACGATTCTTAACATTATTGACATGACAACTTCATATAACCTCTTGGTAGTTTAAGATTAAATTGATCAACAATGCGGGAAGTTTTATCAAAGGAAGAAAAAACATCTTAATTGTTGACATTTCTTTATAAATAATTCAGGAGAATACGCGGATTTTTTTTCTTACCAATAATTACATGATGGGTGTCGACGATGAAGCAGAAGACGCTTAATTTTCAGGAACACCTATATTTATTCGCCTTTTTTAAAAACTTTTTTAAGAGTCTGCAGTTTAAATCTTTCTTTTTTTGCCCTAGTTTTGTCGAATTTGAGTTTGGATTATGATTATGTTATCATGTTGGTATCCTGGATGTTTTTGGTACCCTTGTCTCCTAATGAATTGCTCCGTCGAAGGAACGTTATTTAAGAAATATAACTATCAAAAGCTAGTGTCTTTTGTTTCGTTATAGCAAAATAACTAATATTTTGAGATTACCAGCTGAACATCATTCAAATTTAATTAATTACGGAGTTAGTGTACGTTCCCGTCTATAATTTGACATTCCTATATCACCTCCCATGTTTCAATACTTCAGGCCTTTGCCATTACTAATGAGTCAAAGAAGAACGAAACAGCTGTGTGATACAGTTTAATTCATCACACGGGTGTACTTATATCTTATTCTACATTTGTATTAGAAGTTACTAATCACTTGTTTGTCTTTTATACAATCATTGGCGTTTATTCACTTGGTGGGTATCACAGAAGACAAATGACCAATATGAAATGTACAACCACCGACGTATATAGTGTGCGCGATGGTTAGGTATCGACCAGTTTTCTCTCGGTAATAAAATCCTATGTACACTAAAGTAGAAAATAATATGACGATATGGCATACAGATTATAGAATAAAACCATACACAAAATGGCAAAAATGTACTGTAAATGACCTCCTTGACCTGCCGCCTGAAACGATTTGTTTCCCTGTTGACTATTTTGAATATTTTTTCCTGTCAATTATATTTTGCTGCGCAGGTTGATCTGTAAGTGCCGGTTTGTTGATCTGGGACTGGGAATGCTTTCGCTCTGATCTGGTGAATTTTGTCCGGGTCTTTCTGATGTTTATTAAATCGGACCCCCAATTTCTTCCATATACGAAGCGTCGCCGTTCTTGCATCCGATTTTGTATACGCATACTGCGACGTTCTCGTTAGGCGAATTAGGACATTCCGGAGAGTCTTGTGATATCAAAACGGAACATTTAATCCAAACAGCTGTTGATTATATCTATATTAGTGCATTTTACACAGGCGCTAGATCTAATTCGAAATGAATATTTCCCTTATCGGATTGAGCCGTAGAACTGTGTGTATATGATTTATAAGTAAAGCGTCTTTAAAATGAATCATATGGGAGGATAAGATGGCTTTGTGAATCCTCTAAACAGCTTACATCTAGTAGGAAATACTCCTATAATCGTTAGAGGTTGTCTAATGTACATTATAGCCTCACATTTGTCCCCATGTTTGATCAATATTCTATAACTGATGCGACAAGATTGGATTTACATTGTTGTTGACCTTATCAGAACTGTAGAGACAGAAAGAAATAATCTTTTTATTATCAACTGTACTGTTTTTAATTGGTGTCTCACATACGCATACAAAACTTCAATTGAAAGCATCTCTGAAAAATCTTACACTCTATCTATGTACTTGAAGCCATATTAAAAACCTTTTTGACAAAATTCAATTGTATAAACTCGAAATCTTAATTGTTGTGTTCCAAACATGAACTTGAATAATTTAATGAATGAACTTTAAATCACTTTCTTACGTTGATTCGTTTCTTGGTATGAGCTGCCAACATTGCTCTTAGCTGCAAGAACAAAATCAAGAAAATGAAAGTAAAAATGATAATGAAGTGTTGTGACTATTTTGAAATTTATTGAAGGACTCAATAATATTCTAGACGTTTATACATTTATGAAAGGGAATGTTTAGTTAGCTTGACGTTTTCATAAGTTGAAAGCGTGCTCGTATATTTCAATATTTGATGCATTAAGTGCCTCAATAGTTATATCGTTACTGAATAGGATTCTCCATATTATAGCTGTCCAGCAAGAACCAAGTGTGCATAGTAATCAAAATTCAACAAGTTTATCATAAAAAAGAAGAAAGAAAACCCCGTAAAATAATACACAGTGTATATTTCTTTTCACTCTAAGCTGATGTAGACATGTGTAATAAAATTGGTTTATTAACGATAATAAACAAAAAACCTATATCCATTTAATTACTGTACATTATTTGCGCATGTTGTTTTTATTTGATGCAGCGTAACGTCAACATCAGGTAAAAAACAATAGTGAAATTACCTAACAGATCTGCTAACATTTCGAAAGTCTTAATTTCCAAATAATGTTGCAAGATAAACAGAAATCATGGTAATAATTTTTGACAGAAAAACAAGTGGCACGCCAAAGGCTCTACACTTTTGTCTTTCTTCACCCTCTCCAAAATATGGTTTATAGATGTCAATATGTGATTGCTATTGTGGGAATATATCAGAAACCTACATCGCTATTACGAGAAACAACAATGTTCATATGCTTCAGTGAGTCATGACCCTTTTATTAAATAGAAGCCATATACATTTAAAGTATTAGCCGGACGTGATGATGCCACCGGGACCTCCACAATTGAAGGCAGACCACCTACACGAGTTTCCAGAGGAGGATGGAATACATCGTAGTTTGTTGTAACATTGGATGTTACTATTACCGCCATAGTACACACATGTTTTAGGCAATACTGTTCCACATTCTTCCTTAGTCTCCCCACAGTACTTGATCTGAAATCACGCCAATTAGATTACAAATCAGACAGTCGTTGTCAAAAATATTTACATTTACACATGTGTTTTATGGTCATAATGCTAGAGCGGTATATTTCACACATAACTAAGCGATCAAATTATTTATTTTTATAACAAAAAGAATGCCAATTATTCTTACAGAGGTTTCAGCTCTATCAGCTGTTTGATTTAAATTCGAACTAACAAACGAGCTACTTCTCCCAAGATATACGTCACCATTAACCTTCATCCATCCAATCATCAAAACATGTAGATATATTGAGAAACCTTACATCCTCACTAACACTAACACATCCAAAATAAAACAGGATACCGTGCAATTACAGTTTCTTTCGTCCAAGCCCGGGAAACTTTTTGGTCGCTTGGAGTTGTACATTCGTTTCACTTTATTTGTTACGGAGTCCTTCTTTAAAATGAGGCTCTGGCAAAGCGATATTCGGTATGTGCCTTTGTTGCCTTTAGCTGCAAAGGACAAAAAACCCATGCTATATTTTTCTATAACATTGGAGTGCATATATAGCGGTTACTTTAAATGAGTTAAAACTATTCTCACATTATCAAATAAACTTTCTTTTTTTTTCTTTTTGAATTTTTTGGGTTTTTTTTTCAAACAGAAAAAACCATAAATGCCACTATTACTTTTCATGAGTGAAAACTGTTCTCATATTATCTTATAAACGCAACTTTTTCAATTTTGAATATATCTTTTTGCTGTTTTTTTTTATTTTTCAAAAAAGAAAAAAATATCATAATTGCAAATGCGAAAAAAATCCGTTTATACATGGTTACAAGATATATGTTTCTCTTACCCTAAACATGTACACCCAAGTTTTTTACCAGTGTTAAGATATCCTTGTCTCGCCTTAGATTTGAGATCGGGGATTCCCCATAGTCATGGCAATGATATGACGTCACAGTAACAATTCAACCAAGTCAACAATGCGTGGCATCAGGACAAAGAAAAAACCAATACATTCAAGTACCTAATAAAGAAGATGCTTACTCTTCAGGAACACATAGTTTTGTTCTCCGAGCCGTTTTTCAATAATCTCCTTGTTAATCTATCTTTTTTTCATATAATGTCGTGGTTTTATTACATTTGAAATTGGGTTATGATTATGTTCTGATGTTGATATTTTCTTGTTACTTTTGTGAACTGATATTTATAATGCATGAAAGACGATAGTCGACTGTTTAATTAGGCTCTAATAAGGTATATCATACCTATTATCAGGGATTGTTGATATCAAAAGGGAACATTTAATCCAAACAGCTGTTGATTATATTTCTATTCATGCATTTTACACAGGCGCTAGATCTAATTCGAAATGAATATTTCCCTTATCGGATTGAGCCGTAGAACTGTGTGTATATGATTTATAAGTAAAGCGTCTCTAAAATGAATCATATGGGATGATAAGATGGCTTTGTGAATCCTCTAAACAGCTTACATCTAGTAGTAAATACTCCTATAATCGTTAGAGGTTGTCTAATGTACATTATAGCCTCACATTTGTCCCCATGTCTGATCAATATTCTATAACTGACGCGACAAGATTGGATTTACATTCTTGTTGACCTTATCAGAACTGTAGAGACAGAAAGAAATAATCTTTTTATTATCAACTGTACTGTTTTTAATTGGTGTCTCACATACGCATACAAAACTTCAATTGAAAGCATCTCTGAAAAATCTTACACTCTATCTATGTACTTGAAGCCATATTAAAAACCTTTTTGACAAAATTCAATTGTATAAACTCGAAATCTTAATTGTTGTGCTCCAAACATGAACTTGAATAATTTAATGAATGAACTTTAAATCACTTTCTTACTCTGATTCGTTCCTTGGTATGAGCTGTCACCATTGCTTTTAGTTGCAAGAGCAAAATAAAAAATGTCCATTTGGTAATAAACCCCGCAGTATAAAAAAAATAGTCTTTCACCCCCAAGTTGGTGAGATACGCTGATCTTAACCCTCTGGAAAAGAGAAGACAGTTAAGTTGCAAACACAAGGGTATGCCTAATGTTTGCTAATTTATTCATCTTTCCCCATGGGTTGAAATGTATCTGTTTCAACTCCAAGGAAATTAAAAATGCTAATAATGTTCCAGGGAAACATATTGCAAATAACAACAAATCTCATTTATATGAATGATAACATTGGTAAGGAGAGTCAACATTTAAATCTTAAATTTCCCACAAATGCACAGATTTGCAGAATTCGATTTGGTATGTATGTATATATGCTCATTGTTGATTCACAGTAAATATTGAACAGTATACAAAAAAAAATAAATAAAAAAAAGAAAATACTGTTATGTATTCAGAATCTAAATTGAAACTCAAGTTCCATGAAACTAGGGCATAATGTGAAAAAGATTTACACAGAGGCTCCAGAAAAATTACAAAGAGAAAAAGAACAGGTCATCGATGACAACCGTCATGTAAATGTTGATCAATCATCATCGCAACTACATAGTGTACAGTTATTTACTTTATATAGGTATTCCTTACTCAACAGTGCAGTCCGCAATCAATTATAAACATGACATCACTAGATGTGTTTTCATCAGTCGACTCGCCCAATAACGAAAGATAACTAAATTCTCAACAGATTGCAGAATAAAGATCATGACTGAAGTAGAAATCGTATGTTACCAGTGATGAGGTATTGTTCACCCTTCACAAGATTAGTGATGCCACACAGCGAGTCACTGGCGGGGGTATTCACCATTATTACATCTTTGCAGGATCCCTAAAACAACACGGAAAACACAGATTAACTATTACCTACCAATCAGAAGGGTGCTTTTACTTTCCATTATTTTTATTTCAAAATGCGGTGTCAGTGTAAACGGCTGATTATATACATATTGAAATATGCCATTAAACATTATTAAAAAGTGCAAGCGGAAAAGGAGCGAATACAATTAATTGGTTATATAGTAATGCTTCAAAGACTGATCACAAAAGATAGCGAATATCTCTGTTACAAGTGTTGTACTACCGAACACATGGTCTTGGCAAGAGTTCGTAACCCTACATCAGTATGTAGTGTATTACGTGGGACGGCACGAATATCTAACTCTACGTCTTTATAATACGTAAGTTAAATTGAACCTCGTTATCTCGAACTCTTATTACTCGAATCGCATTTAAATCGAATACTCGGATAAGTAACGGTCCCTTCTACTTCGAGATTACGAGGTTCGACTGTATCGTATAATACAATTGAAGTGACGTAAGGTTAGCAATTGGTGCCAGCGACGATGATTGTGAAATCCTTTGGAATATCGAATAGCTTAAAGACTACACCCACACTTCCGGATCACCAGGTTCCGCCAATTGTTTCATGGAGATAACTGTAGATAAAGGTATGGTACTTACTTTGAAAATTCTTTTCACTCTCACGCGATATACCAAGTCATCACCCATTGAAGCAGGAGGGAATACCTTTTTGATTTTTCCAATAAAAACTGCAATTATAAACATGTGATAACAAACTAACGTCTTCTTTAAACCTACAACATCACGAAAACGTTATTGACATAAAAGTATTACACAGATCAATTAAATAAAAAAAACTTTCTGATGTAAAGCATCATATCTCCCTGCCTTTTTAAAGACGTTTTATTTCCAGCAGCAGTTAAAGCGTTGGAAGTTGATGTCATATAGCTGTTTCTAGACTTTGTTTTAATTTGACAGTCACGCATAGAAGTAGATGATGTCATATAGTTGTAATTTCAATAGTTTCGTATAGATATTTAAAAAAAAAAAGATTTTGTCTCCGACATATGGTTGTAAAAATATACATTGATACTGTCGTGAAAGTTTTTCATGACTTCCTGATAATTTGAATTTGAATAGTGCAGAACATCTTTCAAGTCTCATGACATACTTACCGATGTCGTTTTCACAGTACAACTTCTGCCGATGCATAGGGTAGGGAATACAAGAACATCCGAATACAGTGTATACCACACATAGCCCAAACGCGACAAACACCAACGCTGATACAAACGTCATCGTGCTTGATTTAACTCTGTAGTAATGATCAGACGAAATTGCTGTGATGGAAAATTTGTGATATGATGGCAGGAAATAGACATATATGTAGTTGACACGGGAGAAGGTGTTGTAATATAAAATAATATAAAAAACAAAAATGTAAGAATTATACATATTTGATGTATTACTATGTTTGTACTGAGAAATAAACATTGATAATAACACATGTTTCTGTTAGTTAACACTTACCCTTTTCACTTTTTCAAATGCTGATCTCTGTGAGTTTCCACATTTATGTATATCTATAATGTGTGACTCTTAACTGAACACTTTGTGTTATAAGAAAAGCACATAACCATATGCTGTTTACGGTGTAGCAGATGTGCAGGGTTAAAATAAATCTGGTACTTAAAGGTTAGAATAGTATTGTCTAACGGCAACGCCACATTACGTCTTACACTTAAAAGATAACAAAGATAATACTTTATAAGCTTTGAAAAATAAAAACCGAATATTTATCTACAGTAAATATTTGACCTTTATCTGAAATCAATAAAGCGAACTAAATTTGTTGAACTCCACGACACAAAAAATAAACAAACAAAAACAATTTGACAACATAATTATAATTCAAATTCAAATTCCATAACAATAGGGAAACATATGAACAAAGGAAAGATTTACAAGGAGACCCCTGCAAAATTACAATGAGAATAAAATCAGGTGTTCCGAAAGATTAACAATTATATACTCCTACTCAACACCAGTACCTTTTTTCCTTACCAAAAAAAAAAAAAAAAAAAACGTTTACTTCGCTAAATTACAGACACTAAACTACTGGTCACTCAACAACTAAAATACTAAGTATTCACAGCAGAGCGAGCACCTACTTCTACTACGATCATTTTTGTGTTAACGTCGAAAATACTTTGCTTTATAACCCATCTAAATATATTTTGTTGTGAATATTTTATATCAAGTGCATGGAATAATGTTAAATCTATACATGCGTAATCTATTTTCTCTGTCATGATATACGATTATTGCCAAATGTGTCAAGAAATTGTTAACAAAATCTTAATTCAAGCATAAATGCGATGAAACAAGGACAACGAAAAGATTTATACAGAGAGACATGTAAAAGTACAAGGAGAATACGACCAGATATTACAGAAGAGTAAGCGTCTTCATCATCGTCGATGATACCAGTCATGTAAATCGCAGTCAATTCAAGTAAATAATGTCACCAGACGTCAGCTAAAAAATCAGTTGTGGAAAACTAAAATTTCGAAAACTGCTAAACCTCCACTACCCTACTTAACAAGCAATGATTTGAAAAATCTCATTGACAGTTATTCTAACAGTATTTTTATTTAAATCTTAAAAAATGTATTTCCCTCCATTATAATAGTCTTAACTAGTTTTGAATCTTGAATCTTTGAATTTTCCAACCCTCCACCTCTCCATTTTACTGTTGACAAACAGATGGTGCCCAAGCTACTGCTCGATTGCAGTAATAGAAGACAGAAGAGACACCACCCCCTATCAATGAAGGAAATCTTGGAAGAGGGAGTGGGCTACTTCCCAATTCGAAAAAGCGCACAACTACCATCTTGAGGTTGAACTGCTGACTATGAAGGCTCTTGCCCTGCTCAGACAGGAAGTTTGTTGATTTCCTGTGGGAACCAAATGTCTTCTCTTATGAAACCCTTTTCGGTCCTCTAGTGTTTGTAGCTCATGACTCTCCACAGTTGAGATATTATATTTCAAGCACTAATTGAACAGAGACATTTTCTGGAACTTGTTAGCTTAAATTCTGCAACCTAAATGACATGATAACACAGGGGAAATAATTGATATTTCTACCTTAAAGGAGTCCACTGTATTCAATGCATTGTTTTCGGGCAGTATGTCAACTATTTGATATATAACACTTTTTCGAGCAATAAGTTATTGATTTAATGTAGAATTAAATATGATATTCATACAATACAGAATCTCGTGAGAGGAGATAATGTAAACACGTTATGTAATGTAATTAATTAATTGTTGCGGTATTGTATGAAAAATCAACACGGAACAAGGGGATAGTATTTGATATGAGTACATTATGGAAGGAGACAACAGCTTCGGATGAAAGTGCATTATTGAATGGGACGACAGATTGAGATTGAATACAATATGGAAGGAGACAGCAATTTGTGAGTGCAGTATGGAATGAGACAACAGTTTCGGATGTGAGCACATTATTGAATGAGACAATTTTGAATGTAAGTTGGGTATGGGATGAGACTATAGTTTCGGATGTGGGCACATCATTGAATGAGACGACGACTTTGAATGTAAGTTCAGTATGGGATGAGACTATAGTTTCGGATGTTAGTACAATATGGAACGTAGAGTAGTATACTGAAGAATCTCGCTACATAATATAAGGTGGGTATAACATCGATTGTAAGTTCGGCATGGTATGTAATATGGATGATTTTGAATATTATACGGAATAACCGATACAATCATCATATGAAGTGTCAATGGACGTAATCACAACCATTGCTATTTCAAAGTATGGCTGTTTTACATACACACAAAGTGGAACTGACATCACTTTTGTTAAGTGACCTGTGTCAGATATAGATGTCAGTTATCAGCTGTTGTTCAAATACTAAAAATATCCAGCTCTAATGCCGGCATTACTTGTAATCTCCGAGAAAGCTGATGTCGTGTCCTTTATCCTGTAAAACCTGTCTACAACTAGTTGCTAGTGATATGGAATATTTGCATTTCTCTAGATTTATAGTCTGTTAAGTAATACATGTAAGAACTTCTGAAAAGTGTCATTATTTTATAAAGCTGTTTGATGTCTAGCCAACATATGTTTCCAAAGTGTGACCTCTTTCTAAATAGAGCATTTTATATCAGAATTTAAATTTGACTCTATGTTAGATTATCTTTTTACATCAATGTTTCAAGTTCAATCCGACCCCATTATTCAAAGGATTACCTAAGCAGTATGCTTTCCTTATCTTGTTCAAGATAAAACATATAATCATACTCCTTGCACTGCAAGCATTTGTTCTTATCATGATAACATAAATGATTTGTTTCACAAAGAAGAATTTTCTTAAATAAGATTTTGTTCGTTTCTAAAGAGTTACATGATAGACAAATGCATGAAACTGAAAGATAATGAAATAATATTTAACTATACCATTGTCCATTATCCAATATCATTACTATGAGTGTACATATCTTAGTGGCAATCCTTTTAATGCATTTCAAGCTTAAAATCTTGTGCTTACATACAGTTGTGCTACTTAAACTTTGTTTCTATTGGTTATACAGTGATTTTTTAAAAGCCATTTCATCATTACGTTAATTTGCCCAAATTTGGTAAAGCGATCTGATTTTATTTCACCAAAATAAGTATATTCACAGTACCATCTTACACAATTTTAATACACTGATAAAGTATGGTATTTTGATAAATAACAAGAAAGTCATACATTCCAGATATATATTTTATTCGGTTACAAGTATTATATGATCTATTAGAGGATAGCATATCATATTAGAAACAATTTTCTCTTTTCCGCATGCAGAAGTGCTTGAGAGGACAATTTGTTTTAAGAGCGTACCCTTCTACTTGGTAATTGTCAGTCCTTCATAGAGATTTAGTCCTCTCCCTATTCTTCCGCTTGCTCCTCTACTTCCGCTTCACAGTCTTTCCCACTCTCCTTTTGAGGCAGTTTACCCCAGGCACATTCTCCAAGTTCGGCGATGTAGTAACATCGCTCATAGAGGTGACATCGGCTCTCATTGTTGTAGTTACATACGTTTGGTTCCAAATTCGGAGTACCATAATTGATCTGTAAAACAAAGTGAAATACAACGTACGATTATTGATGCAGAAAAAAATAGTGAAAGATGTTAGAAATGGAGTTATTGCACACTTTTTCCACCTGGAAATGAAGTTATACCGCAGAGATATTGAGACAACTTACAGAAACTGATGCAGAGAAAAAATAACGTTGTCTACCTTGCATTTTTTACAGCGTTTGGTTGGTCTGAAGGTATCATCTGCAACACTCCACTTGTACACACTTTCTGGTAGCGCCAAATTGTCCCACTCTATCACATAGCTGGAGCACAGGCTAATTGTTTGGTCACTGTTTGCTGATTTAATACATTTAAGTTAACACAATTAATTCCGATCCAAGTTTTCTCATCAAATACAACAGCTTTACAAGTTCATAGATAGCATCATACGTAATTTATCCTCGATACTCCAGGGGTTACGATCACTTTCGTTCGCTGCAATCCTCGAATTGTTCCTGACAAGGCACAATCATGTAATTTGATTGAACTAGAATGGTTCTCAGGAGAAAAAGCAGACCAATCAGAGTGATGTGCTACTTTGAAGATTGCAAAGGAGCGAAACCAAATTTCAAAGTCAGCACAAAATACCATTATGCGACCTCGAGATTAGTCTGACATACAACAGCGGATCAAAATAGACTCTCGTCTTATCCATAATGTCACACAAGAAACCTTCAATCCTGCTATGAATGTTCCAGGGGTGCACAGAGCGAAAGTGGTCGTAACCCCTGTATCAGTGATGAATATTTTTTGTCTCAGAGAGATAACCATCTGTCTACAGTAACCTCTGTAGTGTTTACCTTGTACCGGTCAATACAATATTATTGTAGCTCTAACAATTATTTGTTCATGACTGTAAGTCTGGAATCTGCAGACTTTCTATCATTGAGTGTTGAATATTCTGACAAGAGATGATATGAAGTGTTTACCTGTCATGAAGTATTCAGTTCCTACATTCAACCATGTAATTCCGTTCAACAGAGACCCCAATGTTGAGATAGTTATCACCTCATTTTCAACCAGAACAGATTTCTTATTCTGAAAAAATAATGTATGAAATAAAGAACATCTTTGGAAAATTGCCATGATTGAATTTCAGCATTTTTCATCAAATTTTATTGCATTTTTAAGAGCAGATA